ATTCAAGTCACCCTGCTCCTGCACTGGGGACCACACCCAGGGCTTTGTGCACGCTAGGCAACTGGTGTACCACTGGGGTACACCTCCAGTTCCCAGGAGTAAATATTTTAAATCATATATGAAATTTTGTGTTCTGATTTTATCATTTTTTTAATAAACATTTTTGTTTCCATATAGCTTATTGCATAAAACTAACAGACTAATGGAGTTAAAATGATCCTCTAAAAACTAGTGCTTTGTCTTTCTGAAAGGCCTTGGATCCTACCTTGTTTCTTCTCCCAACCCAGGGAGAATGTTTTGCAAAGTTCCCTTATCTGCCTGGCTGGCTCCACCAAAAGGGGAACATAATTACTTTCAGTCTCCTTACTGAAATTTCATCAAGTTTCCAGAGAAAACTATAAACACATAATGTAGAAACAAACTTTGAAGTCTCCCAGCACTCCCAGAAGATTTCTGTCACACACCTCGTCCTCTATTTCAGTCCCATAGAGAATCATTCACAAGCCAGGCCCAACGAACTTTGTCCCAGGCCATTTGTTCTGCAAGCCCATGGAGTTCCCTAAAATTCCTGACATTCCTTATCCCCTTCCCCAGAGAGAGAAGGGTATATACATTTCTGAATTATGTTAGGATGATAGTAAGTAATCACACTCCTATGATTTTCCCCAATGCTATGATTTCCCATTTTGCATATTAATACATTTTATGCCTTTTCTCCCTAGTTAATCTGTTTATTTTCAGTTCATTCCATCAAACCTTTAGAGGGTGGAGCAAAAATTTCTTCTCGCCCCTATAATGAGGGTTTCTAGGAGCTCCCCCCCCCATCTATTATAAATAATGATCTGGACACTTGCTATTATTAATATAATCGTGTATTCCCTCATGCCTTCCTGCCTTTACACATGCTCCTTGGTCTGTTCCGGATCCCATACTTCCCCCACCTCCCCTTGCCTGCATGTCTGCTGTACTCTTCCTAAGGATTCCAGTTCATTTCCTAGCACCCTTACCTGATTCTCCCAGGCATAGTTGCTTAAACAATAAAAATTTCTTATTTCATGGTAATTATCCACGTACTACCTTCTCTTCCTCAAAGAATGTCTTTTCATCTTTGTTAACCAAGCCCTCCGACACCCTTACCCCTCACCCAGATCTACCTTCCTAATAGGTAGAGTTGAAGTCAAATTAAAGGCCTGGGATTTTGCTCAGTGGTTATGCTGCCTGCCTTGCAAGCGCAAGGACCAAGTTCGATCCCCGGTACAAAAAAAAAGGAGGGAGAGGGGTTCATTGTCTCATCTGTGCTGCAGCTCCGCTGACCTTGATTCTGAACTACCAGTCTCCTTGTGCTTTCATAAACAACTTCATGATTAATTGCTGTTCAGCCTTTAGGGCCATCAGTGCCTGGCCTGACCCTCCACAACCACCCCACCGCCTCAGCTTCCTGCTGCTAATTGCTTATTGGTCTGAGAGAGTAAAAATGTTTGTTGATCGATGAAGGATGTGATTTGTAGAGCCAGACTGCATGGCCTGTCACTGAATTCATCTGAAGCTTTCTTTCATGGACCCTCTCTGTGCTTCAGTTTCTTCCAATGTAAATGGTAACAAAGTACTCACTCAGGGTTGTTGCTACTATTAAAGGAGCTAATGTGTGTAAAATTTTTAGGACTGTGCCCAGCACATAACCATCTGTAAACATTGAATACTGTTACTGTCTTTCCCAAGCAATTTTAAGTGTGAACCCAATTTTCTATAGCATTAACAAAGACCAAGCTATAATGTACAGTAATTCTTTGTTAAAATCACCAGGATAATTAAAGGCAATAACAATAACAAAAGTCTCGAACGCTGGCTGCCCACCTACACTGATCTTCTAGAGTGGTTCCCTCCCTACAGAGAGTCCACATTTCCACTTGGAGGTATCTTCTCACATGGTAGAGCCCAGTGCCTTAAAGACCAGAGAAAGGAAATCTTTCTCCTTTTCCCTAACCTGAAGTCTCTCTACTGCAATACTGATTTCTCTGTCCCAGGAGCTGCCTTTTGCTGATGACTGACAATGGGACTTTCAACCAGTTTGAGGGGCTTTCCCATGCACACAACTGTACCGTTCCACCAAGCAAGTCTGCCATGGGTACATTTCCCGGGATTGAGTTATTTGGCCAATCCTGCCTTCTTCCTTTTCATAGCTGTTTTAGGATAATTTCCATGAGGACAGGGACTCTGCTTGCCTTGCATACTACTGCATTTCCAGTACCTGGAACAGATTAGGAATTCCACCAACATCTGCTCACAAATGAATTCTTCCTCTGGGAAAAAAAAAGGAAACTTGGGCTTATACATTATTCCTTTAATATTTTTTATTTTAGCTTTGATCTGCTGTCAGAATTACTTAAAACAAGAATGAGCTAAATCCTTAATTTAAAAATAAATATTTTCAGTGGGGCATGGTGGTAAACACTTGTAATCCCAGCACTTTGGAGGCTGAGGCAGGAAGATCACAAGTTTAAGTCTAGCCTGGGACAATTTAGTATATGTGCTGTCGACGCGAGCACTAGCCTGGGAGAATTTAGCAACTTAGTGAGACCCTGTCTCAAAATTTAAAGGGAGTGGGGCCAGGGATTTAGCTCAGTGGCACCACGCCTCCCTGGCAAGTACAAGGTCCTGAGTCCGACCCCCGGTACCTGGAAAAAAACAATTTTTTTTTTTTTTGGTACCGGGGATCGAACTCAGGACCTTGTGCTTTCGAGGCAGGTGGTGGAAGAAAAAAAAATTTAAGGGAATGGGGTGCTGGGTAAATCACTCAATGTGAAGGCCTTGGACTCATTCCCCCCCAGAACTGGAAAAAAAGAAGGGTTTCTAGTACTTACCTTATACATCAAGGTATTTATTAACTTTTAAAATATTGATTGAGCACTTGATCTGTTCTAAGCACTTTACTAGGTTTTAGAAATATAGCACTGGATAAGACAGATACACACTCCCTACCTAGCTTGAGCTTCCAGGCTATCAAGACCATGAAACAATAAAGTGCAGTCAGTAGTTTCCATAGGTGAAGTACAGAACTTTCAGGACTGGAAGTCTTTGGCCTGCACTTGGACAAGGACAGTTTTGCACTGATCACTTTCATGTTTTGAGAATCCTAGTAAGATTTTGTTTGTAAACCTGGCCCAACTACTACAAGAAAATTTTAAAACTGCTGTACCATTTATTTATTTGAATTTCATCCTGAGAGCTCATTATGTGGATTATGACATTATACATAGAGTTTCAAGAACCAGTTCACAGAGTTGTAACTCAACAAAGTCTTGTGGCAGTCAAATTGCAAAGCCTTATTTCAAATCTCTACTGTCTGTACCACACCACAGTGCCTACACCCAAAATGGTATAAATCTTTATTTACTAAGTGATCCTTAGTGAAGTTTTACAAAGATTTGCCTTAGCTTTATCCAGTATCCAATATTCTCATGAAAGAGATGTACAGCATACTAATAAAAGGCAAAACCCACACTTAACACAGGAAAAAAAACCTTTGAAATATATCTGACATCCATTTATGATTTTAAAAAAACCAAACCCTCAACATAGGAGGAATAGAAGGGAACTCCAACCTGATAAAGGGCATCTATGAAAAATTTAATGCTAACATCATACTTAACAAAGAAAGATTGACTGATTTTCCCCGCTAAAATCAGACCAAAACAAAGCCAGATGAGTGGTGCACACATGTAATCCCAGCATCTTGGAAGGATTGTAAGATCAAGTCCAGGCTGGGCAATTTAAGAATTTAGGTAAAAGGCTATTTAAAAAAAAAAAAAAAAAATCTGCCATAGTTGCACACACCTGTAATCCCAGCACTTGGGAAGCTGAGGCAGAAGGATCACCAAGAGTTCAAGGCCAGCCTGAAATATACAGCAAGACCCTGTCTTGGGGCGGGGGGAAGATGAGTGAGGGAGGTTGAGATACAACTCAATGCAAAGGACACTGAGTTCAATTTCCAGTGGGGGAGGGGAACCACAAGACAAAGATATCTAAACACTTATTCAATATTGTACTAGAAAAAATTGTACTGACGTTTCAACCAGGAAAATAAGATGGCTATCGAATTTGTAGATGGGTCATATTGATGACAGAGCTGGATTCAAAATTACTGCCACAGGCTGGAAGTTACAAAATTTTACAAAGGAAGCCGGGTCTAGTGAGCAGGGCTGTAATTCCTATCACTGATTATATCACTGGTTATAAAACGACACAATTCCTTCTTGGATGAATTAATTCCAAAAACTGTCCAGGAGTTAGCCAGTTGAATGCCAATTCTGGGATAGACTAAAACAAATCTTGTAATTTCTAAACTTTTTGGCACCCATTAAGAATTCTCAGCCAAGGCGTGGTGGTGCACTTCTGTAATCCCAGCACTCGAGAGGCTGAAGCAGGATTGCCTCGAGTTGGAGGCCAGCCTGGGCTACGGAGTGAGTTCAGGGCCAGCCTTAACTACAAAGGGAGACCCGGCCTCAAAAAAAAAAAAGAGAGAGAGAGAGAGAGTTTTCTAATTCGGTTGTGTTAAATCTTCAGAACAGCAATTGTACATTATATTTAGAGATAACTATCAGTTTAACACCTTTCCATAACTGCTTTGACCTCTGCTACCCCAGCTGCACTGTTCGTGTAAATTAAGGAAGTTTCCCTGAAGCAGAAACACGTAGATGTGCGTCTTAGGAAGGCAGCGCCTTGCACAGTGCGAAGAAGAGCCAGAAATGTTGACTCTCCAAGTTTGGGAAGGTGTCAGAGGGTTTTCTAAAATTGGGTCTCTGAGCATGAACGGAAGTCACTCTGAGTCGTCTCCGGTGATTTACGGATAGGCGCCATCTTCAGGACAGAATAATCCACTTCCATTCTGGTTTTCCCGATGCACCCACAAGCTGGTGATCAGGTAGCAAATTTGTTTTCGTTGTGGCAAGATAAAGATTGTATTCACAGAAGTCCTTAGCCAACGCCTCATCTTCCCATAGTAAAGATGGCGACGCCCTGACCGTACGTTACAGGCAACACCACTTCCGCACTTCTCGTGCCCTGGTCCAAGATGGCTGACGAGGCCACTCGCCGTGTTGTGTCTGAGATCCCAGTGCTGAAGACAAACGCCGGACCCCGAGATCGGGAGTTGTGGGTGCAGCGACTAAAGGAGGAATATCAGTCCCTTATCCGGGTCAGTTGGGCGTCTATGGTCTACTGCGTTCGCAATTGGGTTGCGGGTAAATCAGGTGTCCCCTGAAATAGGCTCCGTGTGGAAGCCCCTTCCGGTTTTTAAAATTTAATTTAAAAATGCATAGAAATGGAATGACTCTCGAGCTGGGAGATTAAGGGCATGTATTGAAGAGGAGCCAAAAAAGACTCACATTAGGAGTACAGTGGGGCTAGACCTTCTAGTTTAAACAGCAGTATTTTGGAGTTAGACCTCCCCAGAAGGTGACGTGTCTCTCTTGCTCTAGTGGATGCAGAAGGGATCAACAGTACTTCTTAGAGCCCTAGCCCCCACACACCGCTTTGCTCCCTCCTTCAGTTTTAGTGAGGGAGGAACGCGTACTAGCGCTGAAAATTCAGAGGCGTTAGTTGTGGATTTGGCGAGTAAAGCCCGTAGATAGAAACGAGCTATCTCATCCATTCTTCCTGCTATTGGAAGAGAAGAACATTTTTCTTCTTTTTTACTTTTCTTCATTTTTACTTCAAAGCCCAACATTTATGTATTGTTTTTAAAAATATGTTTTTTTTCTGTGCTTCAAGAAACCAGGGAAGCTACAAAGCCGAATAAGGTGGTACTTAGGTAGAGAAAAACATTATGGTAGTGTTGATGTGGAGAGAGAAACACAGAGAAATGGTTACTATGCTTTGAAAGCATGAGAGATAACTAGTCCAGCTTGAATATGGTCAGGGACGGCTTCCTGGAAGTGGTAATGCTTGGGCTAAGACTTAAAGGATAAACATGTTAGCTTGAAAAAACAAGGGTGGGAGGATACTCAGGGCACAAGGACAGCATGAACAAAAGCATAGATGCTGGAGACAGCATGAAATGTACAAAGAAATAAGCGGTCTAGAGTTGCTAGAACATAAAATGTGAGGCAGGGAGTGGTGAACAAGGCTGGGGAGATAGGTTTGAGCACTTGAGTTTTAGAGGCTTTGAGATACCACCAAAGAAATTTAAGATGAGTAGTAACATGGTCAGATTGAGAGAAAAATACAATTGACAGGAGTAAAATTGAAGGTAGGAGACAAGTTAGGTTGTCATTAATTCACGAGAAAAAGTGATGATCTAAATTAGTTGTGAGGATAAAGAGAAGGAAGATTTGAAGAGTATTCAGAAATCAGTAGGTCAACATCAGTAGGACATCATGAAGGATTGCTGGAGAGCAGTGGGGAAATTAAGGATGATTCCCAGGTTTTTAGCTTGACTGATTAAGTGAATGCTAATGCTGCCACCTAACACTGGGAATGCGGGAAGAAAAACAGGTCTGAAAAAATAGTATAAATTCCAGGTGGAAGTTCTGAGCTTCAGGTATCTATGAAATGAAGGTAAAAAATTTGAACACTTAGTTGGATACTGGAGTCTAATGTTCTGAGGAAAGGTCTGGATAAAAAATTAAGATTCGGAGTCAGGTATGGTGATGAATGTCCATAATCCCAGTAGGAAGGCTGAGGCAGGAGAATCACTGTGAGTTCAAGGCCAGTATAATAACTACACAGTGAGACTCTGTCTTTCTTTCTTTCTTTCTTTCTTTTTTTTTTTGGTGCTGGGGATCGAACTCAGGTCCTTGCGCTTCCAAAGCAGGCGGTGGAATCACTGAGCTAAATCCCCAGCCCAACTCTGTCTTAAAAAAAACAAAAACAAAAATGATTTGGGAGTCATGCCCATGAGTGAAAGTGGAAACCTGGGCTATATGAGGTCACCAAGGGACAGAGAATACCATGGAGTTGTGGCTGAGGGTAGACATTGTCACAAGTAGGAAAAGATGATAACTGCAAATCTTTTGTGCCTGCTAAATAGGATGGGACCCAAGCATTCTATTCTCTTCTCTGGGCAAACCCCCAGTTTACCAGTATAGCCTTGTCTTCAGTTTTTCTTATATCAGAAAAGTTAGGGAAACATACTGAAGAAGAAAGTAATCACATTTCTCTTTTGAGGGGAAGGGGACAGCCCATGACCGTAACACCCTGTCAAAGATTTCTTCTTCTACTTTTAGTATGTGGAGAATAACAAGAATGCAGACAATGATTGGTTCCGACTAGAGTCCAACAAGGAAGGGACCCGGTAAGCAGACTCTCTGGGGAGGTATAGGGTGGGAGACTTACTTGGCTTAAGCAATTTGGCATCCCAGAACCCACTGCCAGAGCTGCCACACAACATGTTAGCTGTTTACTTCCACACTCCAGAGTTCCCCAGTTCCTGTCTCAGGAGTCTCCTAGGTTGATCACTGAAGTAAGTGACCACATAAGGTAAGTCACTGAACACGAGAGGAATGAACAATTGGACTGAGGTTGGGTCTTTATTACAGGTGGTTTGGGAAATGCTGGTACATCCATGACCTCCTCAAATACGAGTTTGACATCGAGTTTGATGTGAGTGTGTTGGAGTGGGAAATATGAAGGTTAGTAGAAGGGGAAAGATTAGGTGATTGTTACAAGACAACTTTTTGTGTGTGGGTGTGTGGTACTAGGGATTGAACCCAAGACCTGCACAATGACCTACCTCCCCAGCCCTTTTTTATTTTTTATTTTGAGACAGGTTCTTCCTAAGTTGCCTAAATTGCTCAGAAGACAAAAAAAAGAAAAGAAAACTTTAAAAATGGGAGGGGACAGTTGAGGTTTGAAGCAAACAAGTTACAGTTACTAATTTCCCTATCTAGAATCCTGGTATGTACATGCCACTTGAGTTCACTGAACATTTTAGTTCAACCAACCAGTATGTATGTTTGCAAGGCAGGCGTGGTGCCACTGAGCTAAATCCCCAGAACCTCAACCAAGCAATATGTATGTTTGATTAGATTAGTTCCTCTCTATCCTGATTCTCTGTTTTATTAAGGCTTTATAATTCTTCCAGATTCCTATCACATATCCTACTACTGCTCCAGAGATTGCAGTTCCTGAGCTGGATGGAAAAACAGCAAAGATGTACAGGTAGGACTGAACAGGAGATGTGAAGGAACCAAAGAAGGCCTAAGGGAAGAACTCGAGGGGCAGATTTTCCCAGAATCTGCTGGCTTAGAGGGGCTCCAGACCTCCCTCTGCCAAGCTTGGGCAAAGTACTTAACTGACTTTGTTCTCTATTCTGAGCAGTAGTAGTCTTCTGTGTTTCCAGAGGCTGCAATGCTGTATGGTAAACTTTGCATGTCAACACGATCCTCTTGTCCCTCTAACAGGGGTGGCAAAATATGCCTGACTGATCACTTCAAACCTTTGTGGGCCAGGAATGTACCCAAGTTTGGACTAGCTCATCTCATGGCCCTGGGGGTAAGTTTAGTAGATTTGGTAAATTGGGGTGGGGGCAGGGCTGAGCAGCATAAGAAAAGTACCTGAGAGTGAACAAGGAATACAGTAACTGTTGTCCCTTTGGCATGTTCCCCTACAATCTCTGCAGAGATGGAACCAGTGGAGCAAGGGGTGTTGATTCGGTGATAGTAGTCTCATGGGGTCTCCCTTGCATTGCAGCTGGGTCCATGGCTGGCAGTGGAAATTCCTGATCTGATTCAGAAGGGTGTGATCCAGCACAAAGAGAAATGCAAGCAATGAAGACTCAAGCCACTGAGAAGGGATAGAGGGACCTTTGATGGGCCATGTTTCTGTTTTCTTGTGTATGGCTCTTATTCATCTGACTGCTTCCCCCCCCCCCTTACCCTCTACCTCTGGTTGTTACTAAGTAGCTGCCACAGGCATTGCTGGGGGGAAAAAACTAGCAACACACTAATGTCAGAGTTTCTAAATTAGGCTGTACGGGGAGAGGTAAGACTTGGGCTTTGGGAATCCAAGAGGCAATTTATATCCTCTCCCCAGATAGGACAATGGAGGCCTTTTTCCCGGAATCATAGGGGGAAAATGAGTACATAGCCCTTTTGGTTTCTGGAGATAATCCATCAATAAAAGCTGCTTCCTGTGGTAGCCTGTGGTTTTCATTGATGGCTTTTGTTTTTTTTATTTGGTACCAGGGATCAAACTCAGGACCTTGCGCTTTCGAGGCAGGCACTGGAACCACTGAGCTAAATCCCCGGCCCCTTGTTTTGTTTTTTGAGACAGGGTCTCTATGTAGCTCAGGCTGACCTCGAACTCATAATAATTCTCCTGCCTCAGCCTTCTGAGTGCTGAGATAACAAGAGTGTGCCACCACTCTCAGCTTCATTGGTGGTTTTTAATAGGATGAGCAGGCTAAAAGTGGAGACACGTGAACAGTTATACTAGAGAAGGAAAAACGGAAGTTACCGTCATCAGGAGCTGAGGGAATGAAAGGAGATTTGCTCTCCCTTCTGCTGAGATCTGCGTTTGTCCTTCAGCAGTGAAGCATGTTTTGCCCCCTTGCTTGAGCCTGCAAGGAACTTGAGGAATGGTTTTACAGGTACAGCATTCCCTTCCTTCTAGGATCTTCTCATGCATATGCAGAGTGCTAGATGCTTCTTCACTGATCTGCATGCTGGACCCAGGCTTGCAGCTTGCTACATTGGCACCCTGCCTGACCGGGAAGGATGTATGTTGCAAACCTCGTGACAATTTTTCAACTGTCAGGTCCACATCCACAGTATGGGTGACTGGAGGCTATACTTAAAGGACTCGCTCTGGAGAAACGGCTTAAAGACTACTCTGGCTCAGACTGGGAACTAGCGGTTCTAAAGTTGGCTTCGTTTCCATGGTGTCGGCCGCGGAGCCGTGGGGGCGGGCTCACGCAAGCGCCGAGGAGGCGAGTGGAACCGCTGAGTCTGGTTGCGCATGCGCCTTGAGAGACAGTGAAGCCGGTGGCCAGTGCCCGGGCCGGACGAACAAAGATGGCGGCGGTCCTTGCGGCGGGATCGACCTGGGCAGCAGCTGCGGTTAAAGCTGCAGCCTGGCCCGCAGGGGGGCTCCACAGGGGTAGGAGGGGGTGGCCTTGAGCTGGAGCCTGGCCCCGGCTGGCCTCCCCCGCTGCCTCAACGGGGGACAGGTATGAGCCGGGGCATCATGGTGGAGTGGGGGGCAGGGAAGACTGCTCCAGACCCCAGAGGATGTTCTGCTCAAAGGCAGAGGCTCGTGGGGACCCGGTGCGGCCTGGGAGAACTGGGCTAGAGGGACAGCATTCCGGGACTGCGGGGAATACGCTGCCAGACCTTGTAGCCAATCAGCGGCCTCGACCTTTCTGCCCTCAAGGGGGGCGGACCCGGGTAAAGCCTGTTGTGGTGGGAGAGGTGCAGAGATTAGGGGTCTAGGAGTTGTGCATCCTCCACCCCTAAGTATTGCCCCCTGAGCCCCAATCCATGTCGGAGCTCGGAGGTGGGGGAGGGAATGGGTTGCAAATTACCCATTCAATCTGCTGCTTCAGCAACCCAGAGGGGCAGGGGTTTGAAGATGGAGTGCTGTCTTTTGGGTTGTTGTCCTTGCATCCACACTCCCATTTGACCACAGCTTCAGGGTACATCCCACTTGACTAGCCAGGAATGAGGGGGGCTCTTGTTACAGGTTTATAGATTGTAAAGACAATTGAGATTGAGGTTGAAAGGCTTTCCAGTAAAGCTGTATTCTGTAGGGAGGAGGTGGGATATAGAAAGGGTCAAAGTCGTGAGCTGCTTAGTCATTTAGTTATTTGTTCACTCAAGGGATACTAAATATTTTCTTTGTGCCAGACACTATGCTAAGTACTGGGGATACAATGACTGATTTGATAGACACTATTCTTGCTCTCAGAACACAGAGAAGGGTTCTCATATTCCTCCGTAACTCAAATGTTGACCCTCTCTTCTCCTCCCAGGTGCAGCCTGCCGTGTCCACAATGCCCCAGGCTTCCGAGCACCGCCTGGGCCGGACCCGAGAGCCACCTGTTAATGTCCAGCCCCGAGTGGGATCCAAGCTACCATTCGCCCCCCGAGCCCGAAGCAAGGAGCGCCGCAACCCAGCTCCTGGGCCAAACCCCATGTTACGACCTCTGCCTCCCCGGCCAGGTCTCCCTGATGAACGACTCAAGAAACTGGAGCTTGGACGGGGACGGACCTCAGGCCCTCGATCCAGAGGCCCCCTTCGGGCAGATCATGGGGTTCCTCTACCTGGCTCACCACCCCCAACTGTGGCTCTGCCCCTCCCATCCCGGACCAACTTAGCCCGTTCTAAGTCTGTGAGCAGTGGGGACTTGCGTCCAATGGGGATTGCCTTGGGAGGGCACCGAGGAGCTGGAGATTTGGGGACTGCACTGAGCCGCTTGGCCCTCCGGCCTGAGCCACCTACTTTGAGACGCAGCACTTCTCTCCGCCGACTTGGGGGGTTTCCTGGACCCCCCACTCTGCTCAGCATACGGACAGAGCCCCCTGCTTCCCATGGCTCCTTCCACATGATATCTGCCCGGCCCTCCGAGCCTTTCTACTCTGATGACAAGATGGTGAGGACTTGCCGGAACACATGGTCTTCCAGCCTCATGCTCCTCTGTCTCCAGCTTTCTTGCCATCTATTGGCTCTCTTGTCCCCTTTTCCCAAAATTCCTTTTTTTTAAAAAAAAAAATTCCTTTCTTAATCCTTCATGACAGCAGTAGACTCTTTCCTGTCCCTTATTTCTGGGGCCTTTTAGACCCTTTTCTGGGTTCTCTGTGACTCTGAAGCATGGTGTGCCATTTCAGTCCCCAGGGAATTAACCCAACTATTTAGAATTCTTCTTGGAGACCCAAGGCCCTTCGTTTCCCTTACTGCACCTTCTCTCCTGGGACTCTGTCTAGGCCTAATTAATCTCTGGAGCTGAAGAGGGGTGGGATCAGCACATCTGAGCCAATGTGGTTGCCCATTTCCTGAGCTAAGTGAGCTAGGCTGACTGCAGTTAGAGCCAGCAGGAGAGGGTGCAGGAAAGGGCCACGGGGGCAGGAGGGGGCTTTGGGGTCAGCAAGGTGGGAGTGGGGAGCAGCTGGGCAGCCATGCCAGTGCTTGGGGAGTTGCCCCAGGAGCTGCAACGCCGACTAGCTGGGCGGAGGAATAAGTGGGGAATAGGTGGGACAGCCATGGCTGAGTCCGTGGTGAACTCAGCTGTGATGGGATTACTGCTCATGACCAGTGAGGTAGGGAGACCAGTGAGGGAAAGAGGATAGAGGTTGGGCATGAATGGGCCAGGGGAGGCAGTGGGCAGCATGCTGTTGAAAGAGATCAGTGTCAGGTAGGATGTAGGGGAGGCTACTGACTGTATTCTGACTTTCTAGGCTCATCACACACTGCTTCTGGGCTCTGGTCATGTTGGCCTCCGAAATCTGGGAAATACAGTAAGAGCCATTCTCCTGTCCTTCCTCTCTAAATGGATGTGAAATGATGCTAGGGGTGGGGAAAACCTGTGGATTTGGGAAAGATGTGGAAAGCGCATTGAAGCTCTCCTAAGGCTCCTGGGCATCGGTCTGGAGAGATAACAGCAATGTCCCTGCTGCTCCCCAGTGCTTCCTGAATGCTGTGCTACAGTGTTTGAGCAGCACTCGGCCTCTTCGGGACTTCTGTCTTCGAAGGGACTTCCGGCAAGAGGTGCCTGGAGGGGGCCGAGCCCAAGAGCTCACTGAAGGTCCGGTAACAACTGCTGTTCCCTTTTCCCCAAGCCCCTTGCAGGTCTGTGTGCCAGTGCTCATGGTCCCCAACCCTTCAGTCCGACAGTTGTATCCACTTTCCCACAGTCTCTTTTCCTAGGGGTTATGTTTTTTTACCCTCTGAATGTCCTCTTGCCTCTTTGAGACATTAATTTTTGTTTCCCTTCCTCACTCCCACCCCAATAGCCTTTGCAGATGTGATTGGTGCCCTATGGCACCCCGACTCCTGTGAAGCTGTGAATCCTACTCGATTCCGAGCTGTCTTCCAGAAATATGTTCCCTCCTTCTCTGGATACAGGTGGGAGAACTGGAGGGTATCAGATTTCTCACTGGCCATATCTGGGGGTAGGCCAAGCCAGGGCCCCTGAAGCACTGTCCTGAGCCTTGATGTGCTGTCCCTCTAGGAAGTGGGGATCCATGTCTGGGCAGAGGATAGCTCTGTGGACTGGGAGGGGGTCAGTTGCTCATATTCTCTGTCTGGCTGTAGCCAGCAGGATGCCCAAGAGTTCCTGAAGCTCCTCATGGAGCGGCTACACCTTGAAATTAACCGACGAGGCCGCAGGGCTCCGCCCATCCTAGCCAATGCTCCAGTTCCCTCTCCACCCCGCCGAGGAGGGGCTCTGCTAGAAGAACCTGATTTAAGGTAAGGGGTGCTTCCCCTCCCTCCTCTCCCCAGTAGTCACTGTCCATATCCATCTTTCATGGAACTAAGCTAGTTAAAATTAGAGGAAATCCATTAGCATAAAAAATGATTTGAGAAACAGTGTGGAAGTAGAAGGAAGGAAGGAAGGAGGAGGGAGGCTGATGCAGATGGAGACAGAAGACAGTGCTAGATAATGTTACCAAATCGAGGGAGGAGGGGATAATGAATTTACAGCAAAGTACATAAAAAGGGCTTGAAGCCAGGTGGAGGAAAATAGCATGTTCTTCTCTGTGTACATTCATTTTTTTCCCTCTTACTTTGGATTCTTCCAGAAAGTTCCTGAAGCATTACTCCTTTAATTAGAAATTTAGGGAAGGATGTTGGGTGTGGTGGTAGGAGGCAGAGGTAGGAGGATAGGTGCAAGTCAAAAGCCAGCCTACATAATGAGTTTGAGGCTGGCCTGGACTACAAAGCAAGACCCTCTCTCAAAAAATAAAAAAAATTAAAAACCAAACACACAAAATAAAATTGAAATTTAGGGAAGGAGCTGGGGTGTGGGTACAGGGCATACAGGGCTCTGGATTACTGCAGCAGTGTTGGGGGTACTCAGGGTTTCTGCTGTCTCATGGGTAACCCCTCCCCCCCAATCCCCTTGATCTATGGTAGTGATGATGACCGGGCCAACGTAATGTGGAAACGTTACCTGGAGCGAGAGGACAGCAAGATTGTGGGTATGGAATGGGACAAAGCAAGGGGGAAGAGATGGGGGGACTGAGGGAAAGAAAAGCTTATGCTATCAAGGGGGATGGGAACCAAGACTGGATGAAGATGTGAATTGGTGTCAAGAGTTGTTAGGAGCATTAGTAGTGAGAAAGGAGGGTCAAGCAAAGGGGTGGGAAGAGAAGATTCCAAGAAAGCATCTCAGGCATCTAGCAGTGACTTCTGCCCATTTGCTTCTGTCTAGATCTGTTTGTGGGCCAGTTGAAAAGCTGTCTCAAGTGCCAGGCCTGTGGGTATCGCTCCACGACCTTCGAGGTTTTTTGTGACCTGTCCCTGCCCATCCCCAAGGTGGGATTCCAGAGGATTCCAGGGGTGGCTGGAACACAGGTTCTGTGACCCAACCCAACCTACTCCCAGTGTGTGGGCGGGAACGCTGTGGGTCTCTAGAGCATATTATGACTGAAGCCCGGATTGACTGAGAAGTTGGAAAGGGAAATTCAGAACATGCTGATCCTTATTTCCTCTTTCCCCCAGAAAGGATTTGCTGGGGGCAAGGTATCTCTGCGGGATTGTTTCAGCCTTTTCACCAAGGAAGAAGAGCTAGAATCAGAGAATGCTCCAGTATGTGGAGGTTCACAAGGGACATATAAGGCCAGGAAGGGGGGGGGCATGTGGATAAAAGGGTATGCATGTCACCTTTGAATGAGGAATAATAGTTATATGTCTGGGTTTTTGTCAGGTATATCCTATAACTCATAGGGCAGAGGGTTGTGGTTCAGAGGATACAGAAATAATGGAGAGTATACTAAATTTGTATGTGGACTGGTGTTTTAGAAAAGCCAGATGAGGTGACAGCACATTAACCTAACACTGTTTGCCATTTGTTCAGGTGTGTGATCGATGTCGGCAGAAAACCCGAAGTACCAAAAAGTTGACAGTACAAAGATTCCCTCGAATCCTCGTGCTTCATATCCTAATCCTCAAATTCTTAATTCTCTTAGGCAATCTCCCATACATTGTCTTTCCTCACCTTCCATGTTTGCAGAGGTTTGGGAGTTGAGTTTTCCTTTGGAAAAGCCTACCAGCCCACCTTTCCCTACCATTTCCCAGTATGTGTTGGGGGAAGGGAGGGACAGCATTTAGGACTGCAGTCCCTCTTAGACACCCTCCACCTCCTAAATGCTCCTTAACTAGGACTTAGATCTGAATCGATTTTCCACCTCTCGAGGCTCCATCAAGAAAAGTTCAGTAGGTGTAGACTTCCCATTGCAGCGACTGAGCCTAGGGGACTTTGCCAGTGACAAAGCCGGTGAGTCTGGTAGGGAAGAGGGTCCTGACGTGCCTCAGGAGGGGCCACAGCTCTGACGGTGTAAGTTGATCATCTGTAACCCGACAGGAAGCCCTGTATACCAGCTGTATGCCCTTTGCAACCACTCGGGCAGTGTCCACTATGGCCACTACACAGCCCTGTGTCGGTGCCAGACTGGTTGGCATGTCTACAATGACTCTCGGTGAGAACAGCCTCCTATTCAACTCCTTTCCTATTCCCACTGCAGCCCTAAAACACTCACCTTCTGTGAAACCCCAGGAGGCAGAGTGCTTGGTGAAAGGTGGGTGGTCTCCTTATCTCTTCCGGAGGGCTCTGACCTTGTCTTGTGGGGAGGAGGGAATATATAGTAATGACTACAACTCCTTCCTCATCTCCCTTCTTCCTAGTGTCTCCCCTGTCAGTGAAAACCAGGTGGCATCCAGTGAGGGCTACGTGCTGTTCTACCAACTAATGCAGGAGTCATCCCGGTGCCTGTGACACCCCCTTTAAGCCCTGGCACCTGTGAAACCCTTCCAACACCCTTAAGCCCCCAGGCTCCCCATTTACCTCAGAGACGTCTATTTTTGTGTCTTTTTAATCGGGGAGGGGGGAGGGGTGGTTGTAGCTCCCATTATTTTTTTTATTAAAAATTACACTTCTACCTGGAGGCTCCCTTGTCTCCCAGCCCCGTGTACAGAGCTCACCAGGCCCTTGACCATGTACAGCCCCCAGAACCCCTGCAATCTCACTTTTTGTGAATAAATTTAGTAAGAAAAAGTGATGGTCGTATTTGTGCTTATGCTTGGGGGCAGATAACAAAACAGTTTAAAGGGAGTCTTCTGGGACCCAGTTCCACCTCTGAGCAGGTGGGGGCGCTCTCAGGGCTAGGAGGGAAGGGTCAGGAGTGGAGTGGGACGGACCTGTGTTCCAAGCAGTGAGGATTTAGTATTGGGAGAAGGAAGGCAACTCTTGCGGGAGGCCTGAAACTAGAGCGCAGGCACTGGGCTATAGGTTCTGCCGAATTTGGGGGCTGCCCCTCGAGGGCGATGCACCCGAAACCCCTGTTGACAAACACTGGCTACGTTGCCGGGCGGCCCTACCTCCCGTAGGCCTGCCCTGTTGCTAACATCAAGGAGCTGTTTATGGAGCCGCCTCCCCGCGGACTGGCCCCCAGTGTCCCTATCTACCTTTCCTAACACCAAAGCTCACGGGGCCCTCCCTCCAGGGTTCTCACCCTAGCTGGGCCTGGGAAGCTTGAGCTGGGGAATGCTAACTCCCGGACTCGCCTCTTGCCGTCTAGCCCCTGAGGAGGGCGGTGCTGGATGCAGCAACTCTCTCCGACTCAGCACCGAACTAGTTAACCTCCAGTCGCACTGATCAGACTCCTACTGCAGCCTTCACTCCGCCTCATGGCGTCAATGCCAGTTCAGTGCTCTCATTGGCGAATGTGAGCGGGGCCTTCGAGGACTCAACCAATCCAGAACCAGAGAAGAGAAACTCGGACACGCGCCGCCAAATAGAGTAGACGGAGACTCGGAGGGACCGAAAAGGTTGGGGGCGGGGGTAGCCTTCTCGAAGTACTGTACTTAATTAGCTGGGTGAGAAGCGGGAAGCAGAGCCCCTCAAAACTCAGTTTTCCAGCCCGCCGGCAGAGGCCTGAGAGAGCAGATAACGTGGGTGTGACGTTATCTGAACTCAGCGGGGATCGGCCGAGGGAGGTCTTAGCACTTCTACCTCCTCTGTCCCTCATTTTCTCTTGCTTCTCGCTATCTGGTGGATGAGTTCTGGGCCCTGGGCGAAGACTGCTGTTCCACCCGCCCATTCACTCGCGTGCGGTGACTTTCCATTAATCAGTAAGTGGCCTAGGGTGGAACGCGGAACCGCGAGGCCTCTGGAGCGCAGGGCGCCTCTAGGTCTGTCAGGATCTCCCGCTTTCCCCAGGCTTCCCGATGGGTCGTACCGTGGTCGTGCTGGGCGGAGGCATCAGCGGCTTGGCCGCCAGTTACTATCTGAGCCGAGCCCCCTGCCCCCCAAAGGTGAGTACCCCACCTACGCCAGAGCCAAAGTTAGATGCGTCCTGGCTCATCCCCAACCCCAACTGCAGATGGTGCTACAGTATCCCCCACTTGTTGCCAGGTGGTCCTGGTGGAGGGCAGCAAGCGTCTGGGAGGCTGGATCCGTTCGATTCGAGGGCCGGATGGTGCAATCTTTGAACTTGGACCTCGGGGAATTCGGCCAGCGGGAGTGCTGGGAGCTCAGACCTTGCTCCTGGTGAGAGGCTGATGGAATGTGTAAGAGAGATGGTGGAGGGAGCTTTCACTAAGGGGATAGAGCTGAGGGGAAGAAGTAAACTTGGTGGGTCAGACTTTTCCTTAATTTCTGCTCTCTCTGGGGGGCGGGGGGGAGTGGAGAGCAGGTTTCTGAGCTTGGCTTGGACTCAGAAGTGTTGCCTGTCCGGGGAGACCATCCGGCTGCCCAGAACAGGTTCCTATATGTGGGTGGTGCGCTGCATCCTCTCCCCACTGGCCTCAGGTAACTCCAACTCTCCCTTACTGCACATCCTTCCACTTGGCCCCATCCTCACCTCCCTACCAGTTAGTTATCCCCTGTCAGCTCTTTCAGCAAAAGGGGACCAAATGAATGGAAATGACCCCCTGGAGCTGAGAAGGTGGGTAAATCAGGTGCTCCCTCTTCACTGTAACTTCTTCCATGCAGGGGGCTACTTCGCCCTTCACCCCCCTTCTCCAAACCTCTGTTTTGGGCTGGACTGAGGGACTTGACCAAACCCCGGGGGAAAGAACCTGATGAAACTGTGCACAGTTTTACCCAGCGCCGCCTTGGACCTGAGGTGACACTGCTCAGAGGCCTCAAGCCTCTCCCCCTCCTAAACCAGCTGCAGAGGGGCTCTTTTGTATCACTTAGGGATGCCCTCTTCTCTTTATACCCGGTAATCTCCAAAACTCAATGTTGGGGGTGAATGCCTTCGCTTCCTTCCCATCCTTCTGTTGCAGTAGGACTGCCGCCCACCTCACCCTCTCCCCACCCCATTCCCCACCAAGCAGGGGTGGTGGAAACCAGTCAGCACAGCTTATTCCTTGGCCTCTCATTCCCAGTCTTATCCTTAAGGTGGCATCTCTAGCCATGGACAGTCTCTGCCGTGGAGTGTTTGCAGGTAACAGCCATGAGCTCAGCATCAGGTCCTGCTTTCCCAGTCTCTTCCAAGCTGAACAGAGCCATCGTTCTGTAATCCTGGGGCTGCTGCTGGGGGCAGGTGAGGGGAGATTGGTTCAAAGGGTGAAGATATTAAGGACTGCCAAGTGAGAGATGGGCACAAGAGGTGCTAGTTTGATCATTCTTTTTTGCTGCTTCTGCTGCAGGGCAGAAGCCACAGCCAGACTCGGCACTTATTCGCCAGGCTAGGGCTGAGCGCTGGAGCCAGTGGTCACTCCGTGGAGGACTGGAGATGTTGCCCCAGGCCTTTGAAAGCCACCTGACTAGTAGTGGGGTCCATGTTCTCAGAGACCAGCCAGTCTATGGGCTCAGCCTTCAGGCAGAAGGGCACTGGAAGGTAGGGGAACCCTCTGGATATAATAAACCTGTGTCAGTGTTTTTATCTTTGTCTAAGAGGTTCAACTAGGCCAGGGTTGATAGAACTGGAGTTACTCATTGCTTGCCTTAGAAGCTATTTAGACTGAGGGTACCCCAGAGTCCTAGGCCTTTTTGTGGACCTTCCTCAGACTCCTTTGATGCAAGTCCGTGGATAGAAGTGGTGCTTGTGTGGCCCAGGGACGGAGAAAGGACAATCTAGTGTCACTGAACACTTCAGAGTGGCCACTCTGGCATCTGGTCCACTTCCCAGAGCATGTAGAAGAGCAATCTTTGTGAGGATGAGTCATTCAGTGTCTTCATCCTGGGTCAGCACCCAGCCTTTCCTGCCACTTGAGTGCCTGGGAAACTTAAAAGTGAGGCAGTAGAAGTCTTACCCTACCCATGAAATTCATTATCAGTGTCTCTCAAATGTTTTTATCCTCTCAGGTCTGTCTAGGGGACAGCAGTCTGGAGGCTGACCATGTTATTAGTGCCATTCCAGCTTCAGGTAATGGGGCAGCCCCCTGTCCTTCAGACCACACCCAGCTCCTAAACCAGTCAGCTCTATGGGAGCCTAATCCCAAAGCTGGTGTAACTGTGGTATGAATGCTTCCTGAATCGGGCCTCTGCATGATCTCCAGAGCTCAGCAAGCTGCTCCCTGCTGATGCTGCACCCCTGGCTCATGTCCTGAGTACCATCACTGCTGTGTCTGTAGCTGTGGTGAACCTGCAGTACCAAGGAGCTAATCTGCCTGTCCAGGTGTGACAAAAAGGGGAAGGGGAGATATGGGCTGAGCTGGAGTCCTTCCCCTAACCCATTGGTTTCTTCCTCTTCAGGGATTTGGACATTTAGTGCCATCCTCCGAAGACCCAGTTGTTCTGGGAATTGTATATGACTCAGTTGCTTTCCCTGAGCAGGATGGGAGCTCCCCTGGCCTCAGAGTGACTGTGAGAGGGGACAGCTTTGTTTAGTGGGGTTTCCAAAGGGCTCCTGTGTTCCAGCATAGGCAAGGCCAGGCTGGACAGTGCTGTATTCTCTCCCCAGGTGATGATGGGAGGTTCCTGGTTACACACACTGGAAGCTAGTGGCTGTGCCTTGTCTCAGGAGCTGTTCCTACAGCAGGCACAGGAAGCAGTTGCCACACAATTAGGACTGAAGGAACAGCCAAGTCACTGCTTGGTCCATCTACACAAGGTGAGTTGGGGCCAAACCCATCAGCTCCCCATTGTCTGCCTTGAAGGCAGGGATTGATACATTTGTCCTTATATGTCAGCCATAACTTGGAAAATCAACAGTAAACTTTTGCCTCCTCTCCTCTCTCCCCAGAACTGCATCCCCCAGTACACATTAGGTCACTGGCAAAAAATGGGTAAGCTTGTAAAGCAGCTGGGTTGAGGAGGGCCGAGAAATTGAGATCCCAGCAACATTCCTTTCATCCTTTCCTTCCAGAGTCGGCTATGCAGTTTCTGGCTGCTCAGAGGTTGCCCCTGACTCTGGCTGGAGCCTCCTATGATGGGGTTGCTGTCAATGACTGTATAGAGAGTGGGCGCCAGGCAGCAGTCCGTATCCTGGGCACAGAACGTAACAGCTAATCCCCAGCTCCCACTCATGAAAATAAAAGTTGCTGGCGCTTAACCTGATCTAGCTATTCTGTCATCTGTGGTAGAGAAAGACAAGGAGAGGTAAAGTGTGCCTAAGATACAGAAAGCAGGAGCAAAGACGAGACAAAGTCCTTTATTAGAAAATATATCAAAATCCCAGCCCGTGAGCCTGGGCCAGAAAAGGGAGCTCTCCAGCACTGGCAGAAAGTACCAGGGAAAGGTTTCCTTCACCAAACAGCTTCCCAGGAACCATAAATAGAATAAATATTCACAGAGGTCCCAGGAGAAGCCAGATTACTCTTGGAAGAGAGTGATCTCCATGGAAGAGGAAGGGGCTTGGGGTCCAGCCCTGCTCCTACCCCAGGGGTAGGGGACTCCCAGGAGTCGTCACGTAAAGTCATGACATCAAAGATTCACATTCATAAAGCCTGGCAGGTGACCCTAGAAAGAGTGATCCCCCAGGTCTAGAGGAGCCCAGCTCCAGCCCAACAGTGCAGCGAGGCCCCTAACCCCCAGCATAGTACTGAAGTTCAGTTCCCCCACATCCCTCTAAGAGCATGAGGAGCTGAGGGTGGGAAGAATACAACCCTCTGATTCAGTTTCATGAGTAAGGTGGGCAAGAAGGGGTCAGTGTGAACCAAGGTGGGCTGTGTGGTTGGCAGTAGGCAGAGGGCCAGGCCTAGCTGGGGGCCGGCGCTGCAGCATCTCTTGACGGAAGGCCTGGGAAGAACCAGGTGGGTAACGGAGACCAGAGGGAGCCCGGGGACCCCGAGGGTCAGTCCCAATGTCTGCTGTGACGTTGGTATAGAGAGGACCCAGCTCTCGAGCCAGCAATCGGTATGTCAGTGAGTTCATCCCATCTTGTGTCCAGGAATTCTGGGTACGGACCAGGAGGTCAAATCTGAGGGTGAAAAGTTGGACACTAAGATGCAGAAGGAACAGTGAGGAATCTAGGGACCCTTGGGAGTTTCCTGGCTGGGGATACAGAGCCCTGAGAATCCAGTAACAATTTCCAAGCAGTTCTCCCTTCCTACCTGTGGGGATTTTCCTCGTTGCCCTTATCTCCTCGGTGCTTTACCATCTTATAGTGCCCCACAGATGTGGGGGGCCGAGAGATCTTCATCCCAGCCAGGCGCACCCTATGGGAAAAGTGAGAGGATCTTGGAGAATGCAGAGTGGTGTAAAGCTGCTGACAGTGAATAAGAATAAAGGCCAGTAGGGCCAGGGATTTAGCTCAGTGGTTTTGCCGCCTGCTGTGCAAGCACAAGGACCTGAGTTTGATCCCTGGTACCAAAAAAAAAAAGAATAAAGGCCAGCAAGGCAGGGGTTGCACTGTTTCTGTAAACAAAAGGACAAATTTTTTTCCAGCACTGAGGATAGAACCCAGGTTCTCACATATGCTAGGTAAGTAAGTGCTCTACCACTGAGCTACAGCCTTAGGCACAAAGGGCAAATATTACTAGTTAGGTAGAAAAAATGCAAAGTTCAAAAAGGTGAGAGAAAGTCAAACAGAAAGAAGGAAAAGGGTGAAGAGAATGTAAAAGCTGGATGTATCCAAATCCACAGGGCCCAGTGCCAGGTGGCACCTGGGGCCTTTAAGCAGTTAGCAAAGGTGGGTTTGTACCGCCTACCTTCGCTTCTTAAATGGGCCCCAGGAGCTGCCCTTGCAGTCTGGGAAGGACAAGGAGAAAGGCCATTTTGCCAAAATTGTACAAAACATTATAAACCCAAACTCAGCCGTGTGTGTGTGTGTGTGTGTGTGTGCAGGTGCACACACCAGTGCATGCTCTACCACTAAGCTACACCCCTAGACCAGCAATTCTTAGCTCCTTTTTTTTTTTCTGGTACCAGGGATCAAACTCAGGACCTTGTGCTTGCAAGACAGGTGTCGGCACCACTGAGCCAAATCCCTAGGCCTTTCTTATCCTTTTTTGTTTGTTTGTTTGAGACAAGGTCTCACTATGTAGTCCAGGCTGGCCTTGAACTCACTACATAACCCAGGCTGGCCTCAAACTTGTAGCAATCCTCCTGTTTCAGCCTCCCAGCTGAGATTTCAGCTGAGATTACAGGTATGCACCACTACACCTGGCCCTGGCCCAGCAATTCTTATTTAGAGTAGTAGCTAAACTATCCCCACTGCTGTCCTCCTGCCTCTATGTGTTATGAAAGGGGTAGAAATGGGTAATCAAATCTCAATTCTCACAGAAGCAAGAAGTGGAGTTGGCCTGGGAAAGAACTAAAAGAATACATTTTGAATTTGCTGGGTGCTTTGCACACACATACAGGATGAGAATTCATGTAAATGTCACCCCAGAGGACACAAGGGGGAGGAGAAGAATGGGTCCAGCATACCAAACCCAAATATTCACACCAGACATTAAACTGGGTCAGCTGAGGCTGGAGGTCAGAATGTTTCACATGCTGCTAAAAAATGAATTGGCATCATGCCAAGTGACACAGCCATTTTTCCTTCCCTAAGTGATTCTAGGCCCCATGGAGCAGAACCCCTCTCCCCCATCTCCATAGGAAGTGGTCTGGATGAAAGCCCAGAAGAAGGCAGAACTAAACTGTCTGCAGGCCCCTTTCCAGCTCTGGAATCCCGTGACAGTATTTCCTATTGCTCTTATCTGCTCTCCTAGGAATATAATTAACCACACATAGAAAACAAAGATAACAGAATGGGAAGCAGCATGCAAAGGCTGACTTGGGTAGACTCAGTACAGGACCAGAGAACCAAAGGTTAGCATTGGAAGGCTATGCCAGGGGTGGTCTTAAAGGCTAGGATGGGGAGGGAGGTGGTGGCAGGAAGTCTAACCTGGTAGCAATGTCGTCATCCTCACCACCCCAGCCCCAATATTCATTGGGGAAGCCATTCATCTTCAGGTACTGGTCAGGAGTGAGCGCTGAGACCCCTCCGAAGTACTGGGGATATGGGAGGCTAGGAGAGAGAGATCCTCGTATCCCACAGGTCTTTTGGAGAGACATCCCAACCCACAATTCCCTCAGCTGTCCTTCCACAAGATGGTTAATCTCCCTGCTGCCCAGCACCCTTCCATGCCCTCTACCTGTATCCAAACTTGTTCATGGCAACAGCAACGTGGCGGGGTCCCCGGGGGTCACACACATAGAGATTGTGGTCATTTTCTGGCAGGAGGTCCACATCATGTAAGAACAGGCAGTCCCACTCTTCATCACGCAGGGCCTCCCGCACCCCAACATTTAACAGCTTTGCCCTGTTAAATGTCCCATTGCCAGCCTGGAAGATAATGGGAGGACTAGGTTATGTGATAGGTAGCATAAAGAAGAGCAGGATGAAGTACAAAAGGGTTAAGAAGGAAAGCTAAGTAGGAGGTAGGGTAGGAGAATGAAGGGAAAGATAAATTATCTTTTTCACTTAATCATTCAATAATTTAAAAAAAATTTTGTTGTTGTTTGCTGTTTGTTTGTTTGTTTGCAGTACCAGGGATTGAACTCAGGACCTTGCCCTTGAGAGGCAGGGGCAGTGCCACTGAGCTAAATCCCCAGCCCAATTTTTTTTTAAATCTTTGCATAGCAGTATGTGCCTGATATTAAGGTGCAGTTTAGCATTTCATCCAGATAACAACTGTGTGGAACAGGTGAGCATATTAATCATCTACTGCTGTTTGTCTCTCTTTTTGTTTTTTTGAGACAGTCTCACTATGTAGCCCAGGCTGACCTTGAACTCACTGAGATTCTCCTGCCTTAGCTTCCTGAGAGCTGGGATTATAGGCATGCACCACCATGCCTGGCTTGTTTGTCTCATTTTAAGAGTCTTAAGTATGTTGCTCAAAGTCATGCATGTCACAAATTGCAGAACTAGAATAGCTTCCATCTTCCCAATTCAAATATGCATAAGCCATTTAAAAAAGGAAAAATCAAGGAGTAATATAGGACAGAAGGAGTACCCTACACAGAATAATGAGAAGTACTGGACTAACAAGTTCAGAAGAACAAGGCCAGGTGCTTCTCTGGGACCCATTAGATGAGAGGAGAATGGCATTTATTTGAGGCCTCCTTACACAAACGACAGAGAGGGTAGGTAGCAGGTACCTGGTGGATGACATAGATGCCATAAGCAAGTTGCTGGCGCTGCAGGAAGGGGTGCAAGTGATAGAGCAGCAGGCGCAGGTGGTGCTCCCGGGCACGATGGGGCACAATGATGGCTGTTCGGGAGCGGGGCTCACAGCCTGAAGGGCGGTACCGGCCCCCAGGCTCTACCCGGGGATTCCGCTCCACAATCTCTGCTAATGATGGCACTGGGCTAAAGGACACCGACACAGGACCCACTATTGGGAGGGAATGTAAGTTCAAGAGTTAGAGGGGCAAGGAGGAAAGAATGAGCACCAGGGCTTGGGAACAGCTCTGGCTCCAGCAGTTTGGTTCTGGGCCCAGTTTCCCCCAGACCTCTCTCAGAAATCTCATAAGCCTTGGGTTTCCCCCTATTGCCATAAAAAGCCTGGAAGGTACAAGTTCCTACCTAGCTTGCCTTCTTTTAGGGTTCCATAACTTTGTTTTGCTCCATAGGATTTAAAGCTGCAGATGGGGGTGGAAAAGAACAAGGCTACCAACTAATTAAACCAGGGCTCATCTACTGCAGAAATAATTCCTTGCCTGGGGCAGAAAGAGCTCATAAATGGGCAGACAATGGAAAGTTGTGGCTCAACACGGAGAGCCTGGTCTAAACTTCGAATTCAGAGGCCCCTCTATCTCCACCTCAGCTCACCTTCAGAGTACCTGCATCTCCTAAGCCCCATTCCTGCCACTCCATGCCTGCCCAAGGCTTCTCACCCCACACCTTGTCCTTTCCTTGGACTTCTTCCTTTTGCACTCACCTAAGAGAGGAGATCTTTCTGGACAGTAGGGCAGACCTTGAGGACCTGGAGGACCCCCTGGGGCTACAGGGGCCCCGGGCAGGTGGCTGAGGTTACTGTAGACATCTCGGGGGTGAGAATAGTCAAATGTTGGCCCCTGATCCCGGCCAAATAGAGCACTAAGGCTTCGGAATCCCCCTAGTGACAGGTACATCATGACGGCCAGCTGGGAGCCCACAAGCAGGGCCAGCGTACAGGGCCGCTCCAGCAGCCTCCGCAACATCCTGAGGTGAGGTCTGGGGAGGGAGAGAGGGGAGTGCTGGGAGCAGGCAGGAAAAGAGCAAACCAGCACGAAGACAAGTGGATAGGGGTGAAGGTGGTGCCGGGGGCAAAGAGGAAAAACAGGTATAGAACAAAGTCACAGCAAGGAGCACACAGGTGTACAATCACGCAAGGAAAAGAAACAGAATGTAAGCACCACATTCTGTAAGTAACCACCTGTAACTTCCAGCCAAAGTTTCACGCTCCCCCAACCACTCCCATCATCTACTTTCAGTCCCCTCCCCCAAGGATGCTTACATCATTCAAGTCCCATGTCCCTGTCAGAAGTCTCTGGAGAGCACTCCCCCCTCCAATTTTAGAGGAAAAGAGACTCACCCAGATTCAAGCTGTCTTCTTCCCAATCATGGGGGCTACAGGGGGTCCCGGGGGTGCAGAGATGTGAGGCATTATCTAAAATTGGAAATGCCACAGAGGACAAAAAAAGGCTCCATCCAGCTCTCCACCAGCGAATCTGGGACCAGCTGGAACAGAAGCGGTCAAGGATAACCAGCCACCTGCATGGGCATAGATCAAGAGCAGGGTGAAGCCGGTTTCCCAGGGAAGTGAGGAAAACTGGTTGGAAAGAAGAGGAGCAGCAGATGCCAGGTCACTGGCCTTTCTCCCAGGCTCCCTGGAGTGATCGTATAGACACTGTCAGGTTTGTACTCAATCTCTTGCTCCCACCCCACCAGGACGGATTTGTGTGGGGAGTGGGGACATGGCAACTACTGGAGATATTGCTTCCTCCACACCGAAAACCCGTTCAAGGAGCGACACGGTCTTGACAGGACCATGGAGTGGCCTCGGGAGCACCCAGGGAAGTAGGAAAAAGGCTCCTTGCGTTCTTCACGTGCCGGGGCTCTAGCTCCGCAGGTGCAGGGAGTGTGTGCACCGGGGAGCGGCGGGGAGCAGGGTGGGGGTGGCGTCCTCTACCTTTTCCACCTTTCCCTTCTGGCTGATGAAGGGTCACTGATGGAGAGAAGGGCTGGGGCAGAGACGGCCGGGGTACCCGGGCGGGCTCACCTGGAGAGGCGTGGTCAGCGCTCGGCCAGGGGTTAGAATCCGGTTCTTTCCGAGCACGCCCATCTCATCCCAGTCTCCTTTCGCTTCGGCCCTCCGGTGCTACGTGAGGCCAACCGGCCCCCGACCACATTCCCCCATGAAGTCCGGCCCTGCTCAAGCTTCTCTCCAGCCTTGACCCAACACGCACTCTCCAGACCGTCCAAACCTTTCTGCGAGCCCTCTCTCTTTCTCTCCACGGTCCCCAGCTTACGTACCTGGCCTCCAGCTTCCCGGCGTCACCGCCACCCCTACAGCCGGGCATGCTTCGTTGCCGCCATCTTGGAAGCGGGCGCCGCGGGGCGGGGCCTCGCGTCACAGGGCGGGGCCGCCGGGCGCGCACATCCCGGAGTGCCCTGCTGGGTCGCGGTGCAGGCGGTGGATCCGAGTGGGTGCAGGAGTCTTCCCACCCGCAGTGTCCTAACGAGACTCCATTTCTCATCCCTTAAATTTGTAGAGGCAGCAGCTCACGCCTTTCGTTTTCCACGGGGCCGAGGGAACAGTTTCTGGTACATCCGACGACTTCACCATCATCAGGGGCAGGCTGAGTCCTTCTCCACTGTGTTAATGGCGCCCCCTGCAGCTTAGTGCTACTTCGTATCAAAATTGTTTCTCGCTGAGGCTACATCGTTGCAGACTGCTCTGGCGCATTTTTGTATCTCCATGGTATCCGGCAGACCTTGAAATAGAAACGGTTAATAAAATAATGAAACATTGAGTGTGGAGGGAAAAGCAGCATCTGCTTTAATGTTAAAATGTGTTTCCCTAGGTATTAGAGTAAAATGAAGGCCACATTTCCGAGAAATATGTTTATGTACTCACCCTTAGTATATTGTGTTTCTCAGAAGCAAATGGGCAGGGTGGGGAAACAATAAGAGACTTGAATTACTCATTGTGTCTACCTCAGAAAGCTTCTGGTCTCTGTGTGTGTGGGGAAGAAGGGATGTAAACAATAGTGTGATAAATACGATAACACAGAATTGATGCCACATTCACACGTAGGGGTTCCGGTAAGGCTTTCCAAAAATAGTGCTGGCTAATGGGAAACCCAAAGGATTTATCTATAGCACATCCTGCTTTATAGATTCTGTTTTCTGTTTTCGTGGGAGTTATTTTACAACTGAGGATAGGTTAATGATCCCCATGCAAATTCTCATGTCTAGTAGAGGTTCAATTAACCTCCTACTCCCCACTTGTGCAAAAGAAGCAGGTTTTACCTCCGTTTTCTTAATTCAGTGTTGTAAACCTGATCTGTAAATATGTCTGTTCTCTAGATTTTCTCCTGTACCAGTTATAATACATGTGTTCATTTTATGTGGATATTGAAGGAGATTGTCTTTTAAAACTTTGGACAGGCTCCTCTGAGTCCTCTTTTTAATTAGCTCTTATCCTTGGGATGTATCTTGGGCCTGCCTAGCCAGTTTTAGCAAGAATCCTCCCAAACCAGATAAGTGAGCCTGCCCCCCCCCCCACATACTTGATACCTATCACCCTCACCTGTCTTCAGGAAGAACCTCCTTAAGTAAGTTTACTAGAAATTTCCCTTTCCTTGATGTAATTTTCCTTCCATGTACTGACACCCTTATTCTACCTATAAATTCCCCCTTGCCCTTGTTGTATTAGGTTTTCTGTTTGTTTGTTTGTTTGTTTGTTTGTTTGTTGCAGTTCAGGTTGGCTTTGAACTCACTATATAGCCCAGGTTGGCCCCGAATTCACAGCAATCCTCCTGCTTCAGCCTCCCAAGCCACGTGCTGGCAGTACAGGTGTGTGCTACCACCCCTGGCATAGGATTTGATATCCATCCCCCACCCCCTGCTTCCCTTATTGGAATAATCCTTTTACCTCTCACCATAGTCCTAAATAAAGTTATCTTTGGTGTTTTCTTTCTTTAGTGTGTGTGTGTGTGTGTGGTGTGTGTTTCTTTGTTTGTTTTGAGACAGGGTCTCACTATGTGGTTCAGACTGGCCTTGAATTCACTATGTAGGCTAGCCTGATCCTCCTGCCTCAGCTTCCCCAGTGCTGGAATTACAGGCATGTTCCACCAGCTGTCACTGTCTTAACAACTGTCAGACTAGTTTTTTCTTTAGCAGGATGTGAGTCATACTTTTTACCTATTTCTGAAAATTATCTGTGTTCCAGGCAGAGAAAACCCTAAGTGCAAAAATCTGAAAATGAGGAAGAAATTAGGGCATTTGGGAAATTAAAATCAGATCAGTAAGGCTGGACAATAGCATGAAGGGAATGCTGAGATATGAGCCTGGAGATGAGCAAGATAATGAAAGACTCACCATTTTAAACAGGTTGGAGCTAGGGTTATAGCAGAGTGGTAGATCAACAAGGCCCTGGGTTCAGTACTGAGGGGGAAATGGGTTTTATCCCAAGGGCAAAAAGAAGGCATTGAAATATTCTAAACAGAGAGCAGTATGGTCAGAAGTTTGGTGAATGTGGAGAATTATTGAAGTAGTAAAGATCAGAGGCAAGAAGGCTATTTAGAATTTATGACAAAAATTCCTGAGACAGCTCCTCACCTGGCATGACAGGTGTCATCTCTAGTCTGGGAGGCAACCTCCCAGGGCCATGTAAGGACTCTGGGTCAAGGCACTGGTGGAGGGGAGGAGGAGCTGGCCACCTGTGGAAGGAACAATTGATCCCAAACTCCTTCCTTGTTTCTTGGTTATGGTTGCCAAGACCTGAAAACTTCATCTTTGGAGGGATTGGAAGGACAGGAAGTTGAAGAGGAGGCAGCACATTTCCAAATATTTTCTTTTTTTGGTACCGGGGATCGAACTCAGGACCTTGTGCTTATGAGGCAGGCACCGGAGCCACTGACCTAAATCCTCAGGCCAGTTTTAAGTTGGTTTTTTTTTTTTTTTGTACCAGGGATTGAACTTGGGACCTTGCACTTGCGAGGCAGGCGCCGGAACCACTGAGCTAAATCCCTGGCCCCTTCCAAATATTTTAACCATGAATATATTGGGGTTTTTTTTACATGATGTCTCTTCTTTGTTATAAAAGAAGTGTGTGTGTGTTGATTGACTATTTGGTAAAGGGAGAAAAATAGGAAGGAAATTATGATATGAAGACAAGCAAAACTACTGTGACTATTTGGTCACTATTTGTGACCATTTCCTTGCAGTCTTTTTTTTTTTTTCCCTGATCTGCATAATCATTTGAATGTAATTTCATCATGCTGTATTTACAGTTTTTATGTTTTACTGTTCTCTCTGAACATGGTCATAACCATTTTCTTGTGTTGTTTAAAAAAAAAAAACAACCCCTAAGGGCCAGGGATTTAGCTCAGTGGTTCTGCTTCCTGCCTTGCAAGCGCAAGGTCCAGAGTTCGATCCCCAGTACCGAAAAAAACAAAAACAACTCCAGAGTAGATGAAATTCTTGCAAAATAAGGTACCATCAGTAGGATGAGAGGGAAGAAGGTAACTCTGAGAACTTTCAGGAGACAGGCAGGACTTGGCACTGGTTGACTCACCTAGTTGCAGAGTAGAAAACTTTATAGCAGCTTTGAAATCCACTGGCTGTGTGGGTGACCAATACATTCTCTGAGTTTCACTGGTAAATTGAACCCATTGTTAGGATGTTTTGTGATAACAGTGGGAACTATGGGAAAGTGCTAGCAACCAGCCAATATTCAATACATCTGAATTTTGGACACAAACTAATCAAATAAAAGCCCCTTTTTAAATTGCTGTTTGGCTTTTGTTTTGTTATTGTTGTGGTACTAGGGATTGAACCCAAGGCTTCACACATGTTAGACAACTACTCTACCACTGAGTTATACTACCAGCCTTTTTGATTTTTGAGAGAGGGTCTCACTCACTAACTTGCCCAGGCTGGCCTCAAATGTGTGATCCTTCTGCCTCAGTCTCCCTTGTAGCTGGGATTACAGGCATATGCTGCCATGACCAGAAGAGCCCTGGGTTTTGTTTTGGTTTGGTTTTAGTTTTTTTGCAGTGCTGGTGATTTCACCCAGGGCCTTCCACATGCCAGGCAACTGCTAGGTCTCTGAGCTACATTCCCAGCCCAAAGCCCTGGTGTTTGTTTTTTTTTTTTTAAAAAAAAAAAGCTTAAAAAAGCTTTTGGAGTAAAAACTGACATCTACAGATCATTGAAATGTGTCTCTCCAAGAGGACCCTCCCTCTGAGCCTCTGTCCCACTGTGGTACTTTGCTCTTTCAGACCTAATCTTCACTTTCTTCCCTCTTTACCTGCCACCTCCTTATAATTTTTTTTTCTTTTTTCTTTTTGGCACCAGGGATCGAACTCAGGACCTTGCACTTGCTTGGAAGGCAGGAGTGGCACCACTGAGCTAAATTCCCAGCTATCTATCTGCCATCTCCTGACCACACCCCTACACATCTTCCTGAGCTGTTTTCAAGAAACTTCACCCTGGATACTTACACCCTGAACTTACTCATTGCTTATAATTGCCACAGTTCTGAAAACTGAAATTCTAATCTGCTGCTTTCCACCACAACATCCTGTATTTTTATATTCTGAGTAAATCCTGAGGCCCTAGTAGTCCATTCATGACATACAATACAATAGAAGAAACACAGTCTAGTAACTACAGCTAATTTAAAATAATTTGGGGCCGGGGATTTAGCTCAGTGGTTCCAGCGCCTGCCTCGCAAGCGTAAGGTCTCAAGTTCGATCCCCAGTACCAAAAAATAAATTAATAAATAAATTAATTAATTAATTAATTAAATAATTTAACCTATGCTTTGTTTCCCAAGCAAACATTGGAGGCAGGGGAAGGAAGACCGAGCAGAATCACATTTTAATGTATTGTCCAATGTCTTTAAAGTCCTCTCTACCACTTAACATTTTCCACCTACATGGTAGCTTCTCTCCAAAAATACTCCCTGAAAGCTGGACGTGGTGGCACATGCCTGTGATCCCAGCACTCTCAAGGCTGAGGCAGAAAGATAGCCGTAAATATGAGGCCAGTCTGGCTACAGTGAGTTCAAGGCCAGCCTGAACTACATAGAGAGACTCTATTTCAAAAAAAACAAAACAAAAATAAAACAAACAGGGCAACCCATTTGGGGCCCCTCCTGACTCCCAGAAGCTATCCTTTTCCCCATTCCTATTCTCCAATAAATTTTCCTTCTCTTGAAAACACAGACAAACAAACACATCCCTTACCCGCCTACTCCCAGCCCACACAGTTTGTCCTGATCTCTCTCCACTCTGTTCCTTATCTTATCCTATCATCTTCCAGTTTCTGATCAGTTCCCTTCACTTCACTTTGAGTTTTCATAACATAGGGCTCTGGAGCTGACCTGGTAGACAGAAATCCTTCCCC